CCAATGCTGGAGAATCTGAGATAACAAGGTGTAGAGCTGGATGTCCAGCTCTACACCTTGTTATCTCATACAGTGTTACATGTCTTTTACTTCTCATTCTTTTAAACTCCAGATTATATAAATCCAATTTACTCAGCCTCATTATGGGGGATCCCTCTTATCCCAAGAAACAATCTAAAAAATTTATGCTAGGACCCCAAAGGAAATCTTTAGATACAGAGATCAAAACTGCACATAGTACTCAGGTTTGATCTCACCAAAGCCCTGTACAACTGGGGCTAGATTTCCTTATCCTTGTACTCTAGTCCTCTTGCAATGAAGGCTAAATGCTTTTTATTTTCCAAACAGCTTGCTGTATCAGCATGGTAGATTTGCATTCCTTGTGAGTTCACTCCAGTCTTTCCATGAACATTAAAGCTACATCCTTTTTTAAAAATATTGTTTTTCTATTTTTGCTATCAAAACAAATATCTAACTTCCCCATATTTATATTCCATGGGGTCCAATTCTGTGTGTTTGTTTGTATAATTGGACCCCATATACAAACCCATACAGATCAAAACCAGAAATGACACTACTCACCGTAACGGACCAGACAGTATAAATTCCATACGGATTAGAATAACACCGCTTCATCGGAGGCTCCACTGATGATGTCACGTAGCATGGTGATGAAACATCTGAACGAGAACAAGCCAGCTCGGCGAGCAAGTCAACAACCTCATCCACAACCTGAGCTACAGATCTTTGCCAAGACTTTGAACTTTTGTATAGCATTTAATTGATTGAATGAAATTTAGAAATTGAAGTACATTATATATCCAGTTTCCATTTATCAACTAGTTAATAATCCTCAAAAGCTTAAATAAACTAGACAAACAACATTTAACATAAGATAGATTGTACTACCCTGTGAAAATTTTCTAAATAGGTTATTATGCCTTCCTCAATAGATTCTAGAACTTTCCTGATGACTGATGTCAAGCTAATTGCCCTGTAGTTCCTGATTTCTCTCTCTCCCTCTTGCTCATTTCCAGTTTGCTGGAACAATTAGACCATAAGACATAGGAACAGAAATTAGGCCTTCCAGCCCATTGAGTCTGCCCCGCCATTCAATCATGGCTGATACGTTTCTCAATCCTATTCTCCTGCTTTCTCCCCATCACCCTTGATCCCCTTGACAATCAAGAACCTATCTATCTCCATCTTAAATATACTCAATGACCTGGCCTCCACAGCCTTCTGTGACAGTGAATTCCATAGATTCACCACTCCCTGGCTGAAGAAGTTTCTCCTTATCTCCATTCTAAAAGCTCTTCCCTTTACTCTAAGGCTGTGCCCTCAGATCCTAGTCTCTCCTACCAATGGAACAGCTTCCCAACGTCTACTCTGTCCAGGCCATTCAGTATTCTGTAAGTTTCGATTAGATCCCTAGGGTGGCACGGTGGCTCAGTGGTTAGCACTGCTGCCTCTCAGTGCTAGTGACCCAGGTTCAATTCCACCCTTGGGTAACCGTCTGTGTGGAGTTTGCACATTTTCCCCGTGTCTGCGTGGGTTTCCTCCCACAGTCAAAGATGTGCATGCTAGGTGGATTAGCCATGCTAAATTGCCCATAGTCTTCAGGGATGTGTAGATTAGGTGGATTATACTGGGGTGGGTCTAGGTGGGATGCTTTGAGGTTCGGTGTGGACTTGTTGAGCCAAAAGGGCCTGTTTCCACATCTACGATCTAGATTCCCCCTCATCCTTCTAAACTCCATCTAGTATAGACTAGAATGTATGGAAAATTGTAATCAGTGCATTCAAAATATTTGTCCAGTATCTTGCAGTTCCTCATTATCTATGCTTTTTTTTTGCCTCTCGGGAACCAATATCTACTTTATCAATCTAATAAGTTTATTTTGCATCTTTAGTATAACATTGTTGACACTATTCCACTTTCCTTTCAGATAGGAGCTGTAAAATGAATTGTAAATAATTTGTTGATGTTTAGTTTAACTATTATGTTGGGCAAAGAACAGTTGGCACAAATTTACCAGACACAAGATGTTTTTGTGCATGTACGTTCATGCATAAGTGCTGTCTGGGGTAAATGTTGTAATATTCTGCCAATAGGTTATTTAATTGTTTGAGTAATTGCACACAGCCCAGGGAAACAGTAGGAGAAATACTTTTTGAGCTAACACCTTTCACAAGAATATGCAGAACACCCAGGCAGTTAGCCAGCATCTTGCTATAGCATTAAAAGAATAAGAAATGATCTCGATAGTCAGCATAGACATATAGAGGCTGTTTTCCCTAGCTAGGGAATCTAGAGTCTCGGATTGATCATTTAGAATTAGCAGGCGAAGAATCTCTACACTTAAAGGATAATGAATCTTAGAAATCTTCTCGTAGAGGATTGTCGATGCTCCATTATTGATTATTTAAGGCTGAGATGAACACAACTCTAGGAAACAAGAAACATGAGGAGAGATCAGAAATGGTTTTGAGGCTGAATATCAACCATGATCATATGAATAGGGGAGCAGACTTGAATTGTTATATGATATACACCTCGTCCCATTTAAGTTTGGTTTACTAATAAACTTTGAAAGCCAACAGATTGAAAGGAAATGCACATCTTCTAGAAAAAGACCAGGTCAGAGTTATTTGATAGCACAAGTGATTGAGGGATAGGAGAGTGGTCATTTTCTTTTTATTCATGCAGGGTATGTGGATTTTTCTGGTTGAGCCAGCATTTATTGCTTATTGATAAGTACCCTTGAAAGTGTTGATAGGCAGACCATTTGGTGGAGGTACGCCACAATAATGTTAGGAGTTCAGGATTCTGACTTAGCAACAGTGAGAGAACATGATATATTTCCAAGTGGGTTCAAGAAGAACTTGCAGATGCTGTTCCCTGTATCTGTTACCCATGCCCATGGGTTTGGAAGCTATCTACAGAGCCTTGGTAAGTTGCTGCAGTGCATCTTATAGATCATATATACTGCTGCTACGAAGTGTTAGTGGCAGTGAGTCAGTGTTTGTGGATGTGGTGCTGATCAAGCAGGTTGCTTTGTCCTCCAAACAAACATTAGTGTACTGTATACTCTGTTTCTTTGCAGTATATTCTTTACGTTCTGGACATTCAATGGCGTTACCACTTGCAACCACCCCACTAACAATAGTCTAGGGATTATCATTGATTAGAAACTAAACAGGACTGGCCATATGTATACTGTGGCTACAAGAGCAGGTCAGAGGCTAGGAAGTCTGCAGAGACTAATTCATTATCTAACTCTTCCAAAACCCTGTCCATCATCTATAAGGCAGACGTCAGAAGTATAACCCACTTGCCTGGATGACTACACCTCCAACAATGCTGGACACCATCCAGGAGAAAGCAGCCCAATTGATTGGCATCACATTCACACTCTCCTCTACTGACACACAGTAGCAGCAGTGTGCCCTGTCTATAAGATGCATTTAACTACTCACCAAAGTTCCTTAGATTGCAAGTTCTAACCCACAGCTACTACTAGTTAAGCCACATTTGGAATATTGCGTGCAGTTCTGGTCACGACACCTCTCATTCAAAATGTACTATCTTGATCCTTGTGAACATGATAAACCTTAATCACTTACCAGATACTTAGCAATTAACTAGCTTCTCCTGTAGCAGAGCATGAATCAATTCCTGAAGGCTGAAAAGGTTAGTCAAGAAACAACCAAACACTTCTTTCCCTTCCTCCCTTTCACTCTCTGAAGTGCTCAAATCTGATATTCCTTTGTAGAAATTTTTGATCAACATGTTAAGATGTGCTTGACATACTGCTATATCAGGTGGGACTTGAGCCCAGGCCTTCTGCTGCAGAGGTAGAGACACAACCAGTGCTCTACAAGATACTATTTTCAGTCAAACTAAGTTCTTACATATGCTCCTAACCTGAAAGACCAGAGTCATTTGAAGATCCTTTTCAAAATACTTATAGGAATAGAGTGTAGGTGCAGGTAAGTTTGGGATGTCTAGAACCAGGGAAACACAGTTTTAAAATGAGTGCACTATTTAAGATCAAGGGAAGGAGAATTTGTTTTAACCCAGAGAGGGATGAATCTTTGAAATTCAAAACCCTAGAGGGCTATGGAAGCTCAGGCTTTGAGTATATTTAAAAGTAGAAGTTGATAGATATTTGATTGCCAATGACAAATGGTATGGGGATAGTACAGGTAAAAGGCACTAAAGTATTAGATTGGCCATGATCACATTAAATGGTGGCACAAGCTCGACAGGCTAAATGCCCTATTCCTATCTCATTTTCAGTTGGTTCTTAAATCAAGCTACTCTTTCACTGAAACCCTTGGAAAAGGAGCCAATCTTAAGGCTGACAACCACGGAATTTGAACTGTAGCTTTCAGTTTGATTCAAATTACAAACTAAATTTAGATTATACAAAAAAAGCAGTACAAAAAAAAAATGCACACACAGTCCTAGAATTTCAAGATCTTGGCCATTATTAGCACAGGAGTGGAGCATCTAATGTCAATTAACTTCAAATAAAAACTAAGAAAGGAGCCCTTCTATATCAGGAATTCAGGATTATTAGAAATGCATGATAGGAATACTGTGGTAAATGGTGAGATGAATTATCATCTTTTGCATGATATTATACACACTGATCCCTGTAATTTAAATAGCTAAAGGCTAATGACAAATCTTTCAGAAAAAAGTATGAATTCAGTTAATGTAGTAGGTGATTTCTTTGAATGTTTGAGGAATGTTGGGTTCTAATTGTATTGTTTTATATTTTACAGCAGAATAATGTGCAACCAAATACAGTGTACTGGTATATGTTCATTGCCATAATTGGATTTATATTGAATGTAGCTGACCAGTTAAATGGTCTTAATGTTTTTATTTAAATTGAAGTATGCTATCAAGGATACTATGTTACATTTTTTGTAATAGAGCATATTATTCCCATCTTACCAACAATTAGTTTATTATTCTACAGCATCCAGTAGAAGAAGTTTAGATAACATAAGCAATTCGAAGCCACTTACAGATACAGAACTAGCAAAGAAAAGAAATGGGAAGAAACCAAAAGGAAGCCTAAAGGTAAGAAAATATTTATTAGTATTTGTATTAGTTGAGCCCCAATGTTATGTTCTTGTGTGTATAAACATTACCATGCAGAAGGTGATGTGATGAACAATTTCACGCGTAAGTGTTACAGATGGAAATACTTGAATACAAGGGCAGCATGGTTGCTCAATGGTTACCACTGCTGCCTCATGGTGCTAGTGACCAGCGTTCGATGCCAGCCTTGGGTAACTGACTGTGGAGTTTGCATGTTCTTCCCACGTCTGTGAGGGTTTTTTTTAACCAGGTGCTCCAGTTTTCACAGTTCAAAGATGTGCAGGTTAAGTGGATGGGCCATGGTAAACCTGGGGTTACAGGAATAGGGTAGGAGGCTGAGTCTGGACGGGATGCTGTTTGGTGCAGACTCACTCCAAATCGCCTTTTTCTGCACTGTAGGGATTCTAAAAGATCATTTTCACTTTTCAGAGGAAACAGCAATTTGATATTTATTTGCTACAACAAATAAAGATTCTATAGGAAATGAGGGAAGAGATCGCAGGACCTTTGGTGATGATCTTTTCATCCTCACTGTCCACAGGTATAGTGCCGGAAGATTGGAGAGAGGCAAACATCATTCCCTTATTCAAAAAAGGGAATAGGGATAACCCTGGAAATTACAGGCCAGTTAGTCTTATGTCAGCGGTGGGCAAATTATTGGAAAGGGTTCTGAGATAGGATTTATGATCACTTGGATAGGCACAGTTTGATTCGAGATAGTCAGCATGGATATGCGAGGGGTAGATCATGCCTCACAAACCTTATTGAATTCTTTGAAGAGGTGACCAAACACGTGGATGAAGGTAGAGCAATGGATGTGGTATATGTGGATTTAAGTAAGGCGTTTGATAAAGTTCCCCATGGTAGGCTCATGCAGAAGATAAGGAGGCATGGGATAGGGGGAAATGTGGCAGATTGGATTCAGAATCGGCTGACCCTTAGAAGACAAAGGGTGGTAGTGGACGGAAAATATTCAGCATGGTGCTCAGTTAAAAGTGGTATGCCACAAGGATCTGTTCTGGGTCCTCTTCTATTTGTGATTTTTGTAAATGATTTGGACGAAGGGGTGGAAGGATGGATTAGTAAGTTTGCGGACAATACGAAGGTGGGTTGAGTTGTGGATATTACGGAGGGCTGTTCTAGGTTAAAAGGGACATTGATAGGATGCAGAGCTGGGCTGAGAAGTGGCAGATGGAGTTTAACCCTAAAAAGTGTGAGTTGATTCATTTTGGTAGGACAAATTTGAAGGCAGAATACAGGGTTAACGAAAAGATTCTTGGCAGTGCGGAAGAGCAGAGGGACCTTGAGGTTCATGTCCACAGTTCCCTGAAAGCTGCCACCCAGGTGGAAAGAGTTGTTAAGGCAGCAGATGGTATGTTAGCTTTCACTAACAGAGGGATTGAGTTCAAGAGCCGTGACGTTATGCTCCAGCTATACAAAAGCCTGGTTCGGCTAAATCTGGAATATAGTGTCCAGTTCTGACGTGGAAGCGTTGGAAAAAGGTGCAGAGGAGATTGACCAGGATGTTGCCTGGAATGGAGGGAAGGTCTTACGAGGAAAGGTCGAGAGAGCTAGGGCTTTTCTCTTTAGAACGACAAAGGCTGAGAGGTGACTTGATAGAAGTCTACAAAATGATTAGAGGTATTGACAGACAGAGACTTTTTCCTTGAGTGGAGGTAGATATAGAGGAGACGTGAGAGGTAGGCTCTTTACTCAGAGAGTAATCGGGGCGTGGAATGCAATGCCGGAGAGGGTAGTGGAGTTGGCCTCATTAGGGGCATTTAAGCAGCTATTAGATAGGCATATGGATGATAGTATAAGGTAGGGGTGGAGGTTAGATTGACCTTATGTTTAGGGTAAAAGTTTGGCACAACCTCGTGGGCCGAAGGGCCTGTACTGTTCTATGTTCTAACAATTACTCTAGTCAGTAAAACAATACGATGACTTTTTGCCAACATACTGAAATATTACTGTACCCATGGTTTTACATCACCACCTAAATCAATTTTGAGCCACTGGGGAACAAGCTGAAGGAAGTTAGAGAGTTATATAGGCAAATTACTCAACAGGCAGAAGGCTATTCAGATCTCTGGGAAAGACCCTCTTATGCTTGCTTAAGATTTTGGACATTGAGGGCGATTTCAGTAGCTAGAGTGTTCACGCATATGTTCACGTTTGTATTCCTTTCATTTTGTTTATCATTGAAATTGCTTCAGTGCCATACAATAATTGATTTATTGTATTCAGTCAGACCTACAATGACCTTTGTAAAGAATGCCCTCCATGGTTACGTGGCTTCTCACTCCCAACCCTGTCCCTTTCAGATTGAAGTGATGCACGAAGCCAGTCAGGGGGGATCCAGTCACGTCCAAGTAACAACTGAAAGTGAAGAGAACCTGTCAACAAGGAGGAGGTAAGATAACTATTCACATGATATTAGATCTGTGTAGGGAATCACTACCAATGTACTCTATACAAAATTATACTTTGCATTCTCAAAAACCTGTCTTAATATTTGTACATGGACATCTAATGGAGTGCTTAATCTTTTGTAAACATTAAGTTTTAGAACAAGTAACACTGAACTACCTTGTCTTTGAACTTGCTATGTTGGAGGATGCTAAAATGTCATGACGATAATTATCATAAAGTTCTAATGAACATGGCACTAGTTATTAGTGCTTTAAACCAAAATGCAAAATGGATAAGTCAGTATATAGTGAAACTAAAAAGACCCTCATTATTGACAGTCACAAGTAACTTACAAGCTTGTAAGTTATAAGCAACGTCTTTCAATCACTGTATTCTCAAATCAGGAACTATGGAAAGCTTTTAAAACAGATTTCAGATACACACGAGATGCAGACGGGCAATAACTAAATCCATTCTCCAGATTGAATGTTCTGCCAGCTGTATCCCAGGGATCGAACAGTTTTTGCTCCTGGGTAAAGAACTCCCTGAAGCCAGGCAGTCTGATGGTAAGACAACAGGAATAAGGACTTTGAAATTATGAAGTAAGAGGCTTGGTAGAATAGAAAATCAGGAAAGAAATGGTCACTGGGAAAATGGGGATTGGGTGTAGGCAGGTGAGAAAATAATTCCCAAGTGACTTTGATTCTTCATCACAACTGATGCAAAAATTAGATTCTCAATTACTGTTCAGGTTCATGGCCTTGAGGTGAATGTTTCCTTACCTACCAGCTGCACAAAACAGGGAAAGAGAGGGAGGCAGAAGAGATTAGCTAGGATCTCCTGGGCACACAGTCCCCACAGTGCACATACACAACTGGAAAGTACCAGCAATCAAAACATTCAACCTTCTGTTAAAAAGAACCCGGAAGACCCAGTTAACAGATGAATTGAAATCAAGCCTACTTGTAGAACTTCAACCTTAGGTGAAGGGTGAAAAATAATGGAATGCTATAGGAGACAACAAATCCCATGTTATTGTACAACTGCCATTTTGAAAATGCCTTCTGGAAGAAGATTAAGGCAGAGCAGTGGACATTGTCCATATGGATTTCAGCAAGGCATTCAAAAAGTTCTGCATGATAGACCACACAGAATACAGGGAGAGCTAGCCATTTGGATACAAAATTGACTCGAAGGTAGGAGACAGAGGGCGGTGGTGGAGGGTTGCTTTTCAGATTGGAGGCCTGTGACTGGTGGTGTGCCACAGGGATTGGTGCTGGGTCCACTGCTTTTTGTCATAGATATAAATGATTTGGAGGTGAATAGGAGGTATGGTTAGTAAATTTGCAGTGGACAATGAAGAAGGTCACTGAGTACAACAGGACCTTGATCAGATGGGCTGAGGTTTAATTTAGACAAATGAGGGGTGCTGTATTTTGGTAGGGCAAATTAAGTCAGGACAAAACCACTCAATGGTAAAGGTCCTGGGAGTATTGCCAAGCAAAGAGAGCTTCGGGTGACTGTTCGTAGTTCCTTGAAGGTGGAGGCACAGGTAGATAGGATATCGAAGGCAGCATTTGGTACGCTTGCCTTTAAATCAATCAGTGCATTGAATATAGGAGCGGGAAGACCATGTTGCAGCTGTACAGGACATTGTTTACGCCACTTTTGGAATACTCCGTTTAATTCTTGTCACCCTGCTATAGGAAGGATGTTGCGAAATTTGAAAGAGTTCAGAAAAGATTTACAAGGATGTTGTCAGGACTGGAGGGTTTGAGTTATTGGGAAAGGCTGAATAGGGGGGCTATTTTCCCTGGGGCATTGGAGGCTGACGAGTGACCTTATAGAGGTTACAAAATCATGAGGGGCATTGTAGTGTGAATAGTCATGGTCTTTTACCCCAGGGTAGGCAAGTCCAAAATGAGCTGCCAGTGGTGGGGGCTGCAGCTGGAACATTTAAAAAGGATTTGGTTATGTATTAACTAGGAAGGGTTTTACAGGGATATGGGCCAAATGCTGGCAAGTGGGACTAGATCAGTTTAAGAATCTGGTCAAGTTGGACTGAAGGGTATATCTCTATGACTTTAAATAAAGGACACCCAAATCCTTCTGTCCCTAATTACAGATGTAACTTAAATTTTATAGTGAAAGAAGTTAAAAATTATTGGCCCAGGAACTCAAGAACAAAAACAAAGTTACTGGAAAAGCTCAGCAGGTCTGGCAGCATCTGAAGGAAAAAAAATCAGTTTACATTTTGGGTCCAGGGAAAATGTCAATTTATATGCAGAGAATAGGGATGGGGAAGGGGTAGGGAGTAAACGATAGGATAGAGTCTAGATAGAGGGAGAAGAGCAGTTGGACAGATAGAGTTGATAACAATCAGGCTGGGACGATGAATAGTTGCTAATGGGGACTATTAGTGACTAACAACAGGTGGTATGTAATGGCAGACTGATAACGAGGCCGGGGAAGGGTTTTGGTGGGGGGGGGGGGGGGTGTTGGTAGGGGACTGGGACATGGGAAAGTTATGGAACTCGATATTGAGTCCGGAGGGCTACAGGGTCCCCAAGTGGGAAATGAGGTGTTGTTTCTTCCAGCTTGCATTGAGCTTTGCTGGAACACTGCAGCAATTCAGAGACATCTGTTGGCCAGGGAACAGGGTGGTGCACTAAAGTGGTGGGCAACAGGTAGTTCAGGGTCTTTTTTGTGAGCAGAACATAGATGTTCTGCAAAGCAGTCACCCAATCTATGCTTCATTTCCCCAAGGTACAGAAGGCCACATTGTGAGCAGGGAATGCAGCAGACTAAATTCTGGCAAGTACAGGTGAAGTGTTGCTTCACCTGAAAGATATGTTTGGGCTGTTGAATACTGGGAGGGAGGAGGTAAGTGGGCAGATGTTGCACTTTCACCAGTTGCAGGGGAAAGTGCCATGTGGACCAGGGTGTCCAGGAGGGAGCAGTTCCTACGTAAGACGGACAAGGGAGCGGAGGGTAATGTGTCTCTTGTGATGGCATCATGCTGGAGGTGGTGGAAATGGCATCGGATGGTCTTTTGGAAGTGGATGCTGGTGGGATGGTAGGTAAGAACAGGGGGAATCCTATTGCTGTTGCAGGAGGGAAGAGAAGGGGTGAGGGTGGAATTGCGGGAGATGGGTTGGAGCTGGTTGGGGGCCGCGTCGACAACAGTTCTGGGGAATCTTTGGTTGAGGAAGATGGACATTTTGGAGTCTCCCTTGTCAAAGTTGGCCTCATCTGAACATAAGGGGGGGGGAACTGACAGAGGGATGGAGTCTTTACAGGAAGCAGGGTGAGGATGTATAGTCCAGGTAGCCATGGGAGTCAGTGGGTTTATAGTGGATAATAGTGGCCAGTCTATCCCCAGAAATGGAAACAGAAATGTTGAGGAAGGGAAGGGAGGAGTCAGACGTAGACCAGGTGAAAATGAGGGCAGGGTGGAAATTGGAGGCAAAAAACGATGAACTTCTCCGATTCCAGATGAGAGAGGAAAGCCTCACTGATGATATTGTTGATATGTTGGAGAAAGAGTGGTGGGTGGGGGCTGGAATAGGACTGGAACAAGGAATGTTCCATGTACTCCACCAAGAGACAGGCATAACTAGGGCCCACGCAGGTACCCATGGCCACTTTCTTACCTGAAGAAAATGAAAGGAGTTAAGAGGGAAATTGTTAAGGGTGAGGACGAGCTCGGCCAAACTGAGGAGGGTGGTGATGGTTCCGGTTCAGGGACTCAAGTCAGTCACCGATCCTTCCCTAAACTTAGATTCTGAACAAACCACAAATCACCTTGTCCAAGGTTCCCAAACTTTAGTGTTCAAATTTCTTTGGCTTCTTTTCTGCCCAAAGCAGAAATCTGTCAGTCAACTCCAACTCATCCTCAGTCATAGAAGTGATGCAATGCATTAGCCCCTCATAAGCCCTTAAAAAGCATTGACAGATTCTTGAATTTGATTATTTATTCACCCAATTCTCCAGTGTCTGGCTTTTCAGAGACCAGACAAATCCTTAGAAGGTATATGGAAGCCTAATACCAGGTACAAATTCACACTTCCTTTGGGTGATTTCATTGCCTGGGACTTGTCTGACCCTGAGCCTATGGGTTAGAATTAGGGTACACATGCAATTACCCTAGATTCATACTCAGGAAATTCGGACAGTTTAATACTGGTTCAGCCATGTAATTTGCTAGTACTCCCAACAAAACAACTGTTAATGGGAGGCAGTGGCCTAGTGGTATAATTACTGGACTGTCTATCCAGACACCCAAATAACGTTCTGGGGTGCTAGGTTCAAATCCTGCCATGGCAGACGGTGGAATTTGAATTTAAATAAATATCTGGAATTAAGAATCTGACGATGACCATGAATCCATTGTCAATTGTCGGGAAAAACTAATGGTTCACTAATGTCCCTTAGGGAAGGAACTGCTATGCTAACCTGGTCTGGCTGACCTGTGTCTCCAAACCCAAAGCAATGTGCTTGGCTCTTAACTGCTCTCTGGGCAATAAATGCTGCCTAGCCAGCAACACCCCTCATCCTGTGAATGAGGAAAGAAAAACAAATCCCTACCATACATTCATTAAAGTGGACTTTAAAGAAAGGAGAGACCACCCCTTCTTCCAAATACTCCACTGATTCAGCTTACCCTGGAGACGCTGTGCTGTCCATTTTTACTTCAGCTGGGGTGGCACAATCCCAGAGAAGTGGCCAGTATCAATGCACTCAGCATTGTGGGTGATGAGAAGGACCAGGCCAGTCTTTCTCACTACAGTGCAAGTCTACAAGCTGAATGAAAAGAAACCTAATAGTGAGATTTAGCCAAACCCTGTGTATGTATATAATGGCTCTCTCGGCTGGCCTACCATCTTCCACCTTGTGTAATTTTGAACTCATACAAACCTCTTGTGTCCAGACCCAACTAGCACCAAGTCTTGATAGTTCATCACCCCTGTACACTAAGGCACATCAGCTGTTGACCAAGAA